TTTTTGGACATTAAAGAATTTAACTTTTCTGTTATTTTATCCAAAATGATTTGAAAAAAATGTGAAAATTACAAATGCGAAAGTTTCCGTAGTGTAGTGGTCATCACGTTTGCCTAACACGCAAAAGGTTCTCAGTTCGAAACTGGGCGGAAACAACATGAAGAAACTTTTTCTGAAAATCCACCTGATTTTTCTTGTGTGTTTTAGGACATTGAGGATTTTTTTGTGTTATTTTATGCAAAATGATTTGAAAAAAATGTGAAAATTACAGCTGTGCAAGTTTCATTACTGTAGTGGTTAGCACGTTTGCCTAACACGCAAAAAGTCCTCAGTTCGAAACTGGGCGGAAACAGCAAGAAGGAACTTTTTCTGAAAATCTACTGTGGTATTTTGTTTTTGGACATTAAGGAATTTATCTTTTGTGTTATTTTATCCAAATTTATTGAAAAAAATGTGAAAATTAGAACCATGTAAGTTTCTGTAGTGTAGTGGCTATCATGTTTGCCTAACACGCAATAGGTCCTCAGTTCAAAACTGGTCGGAAACAACATAAGGAAACTTTTTCTGAAAATCCACTGTGGTATTTTGTTTTTGGACATTAAGGAATTTAACTTTTGTGTTTTTTTTATCCAAAATCATCAAACAAAATGTGAAAATCACAGCTATGTAAATTTCCGTAGTGTAGTGGTCATCACGTTTATATGCCAAAGGTCCCCAGTTCAAAACTGGGTGGAAACAACAGCAAGAAGGAACTTTTTCTGAAAATCTACTGTGGTATTTTGTTTTTGGACATTAAGGAATTTAACTTTTGTGTTATTTTATACAAAATGATTTGAAAAAAAATGTGAAAATTACAACAGTGTAGGTTTCTGTAGTGTAGTGGTTATCATGTTTGCCTAACACGCAATAGGTCCTCAGTTCAAAACTGGTCGGAAACAACATAAGGAAACTTTTTCTGAAAATAGACTGTGGTATTTTGTTTTTGAACATTAAGGAATTTAACTTTTGTGTTATTTTAACCAAATTTATTGAAAAAAATGTGAAAATTAGAACCATGTAAGTTTCTGTAGTGTAGTGGTCATCACGTTTGTCTAACATGCAATAGGTCACCAGTTAGAAACTGGGCGGAAACAACATGAAGGAGCTCTTTCTGAAAATCTACTGTGGCAATTTGTTTTTGGACATTAAGGAATTTAACTTTTGTGTTATTTTATCCAAAATGATTAGAAAAAAATGTGAAAATTACAAATGTGAAAGTTTCCGTAGTGTAGTGGTCATCACGTTTGCCTTACACGCAAAAGGTCCCCAGTTAGAAACTGGGCGGAAACAACATGAAGGAACTTTTTCTGAAAATCTACTGTGGTATTTTGTTTTTGGACATTAAGGAATTTAACTTTTGTGTTATTTTATCCAAAATTATTGAAAAAAATATGAAACTTAGAACAGTGTAGGTTTCTGTAGTGTAGTGGTTATCACGTTTGCCTAACACGCAAAAGGTTCTCAGTTCGAAACTGGGCGGAAACAACATGAAGAAACATTTTCTGAAAATCCACCTGATTTTTCTTGGGTGTTTTAGGACATTGAGGATTTTTTTGTGTTATTTTATGCAAAATGATTTGAAAAAAATGTGAAAATTACAGCTGTGCAAGTTTTATTACTGTAGTGGTTAGCACGTTTGCCTAACACGCAAAAAGTCCTCAGTTCGAAACTGGGCGGAAACAACAACAAGAAGGAACTTTTTCTGAAAATCTACTGTGGTATTTTGTTTTTGGACATTAAGGAATTTAACTTTTGTGTTATTTTATCCAAAATTATTGAAAAAAATGTGAAAATTAGAACCATGTAAGTTTCCGTAGTGTAGTGGTCATCACGTTTGCCTCACACGCAAAAGGTCCCCAGTTCGAAACTGGACGGAGACAACATAAAGTAGCTCTGTCTGAAAATCTACTGTGGTATTTTGTTTTTTAGACATTAAGAAATTTAACTTTTGTGTTATTTTATCCAAAATTATTGAAAAAAAATAGGAAAATAAGTACAATGTAGGTTTCCGTAGTGTAGTGGTCATCACGTTTGCCTATCACGCAAAAGGTTCTCAGTTTGAAACTGGGCGGAAAC